GCTGCACCATTTAAGGTGGAACGGGAAGATTCAAACAAGAAACTGGTGAATATCTGACTTCAGCTTTGTACCACTAAAGAATCAACGATGGGTGATAATAAATAGTTGTCTTATACCCCTCTTTGAAGTCATATGATGCCCTAAATGTAACTAAAGCCCAGCAGTGAGGAGCTGAACTTTACCTTCCTCTGCTATCACTGAAGACGGGCCGGGTCACCTACAGAGCGGCGCTAGTAGCTGTTAATGAAGTAATGTTTTATTTGAGGGTCACATTTCGTAGGGCAAGATTGACACTTGAAAACAAGGGGTGGGGTAAAAAGAAGAAATGGGACTGGGCCAAAGTCAGCAGGTACATATCTACCACCCCGGCAATGTCTAGTGTTTAGGAACCCAAAAACACCACACATTGCCTCAAATCATGCTTTTAATTACTCTCAAACAGACTTGCTTATGAGGTTTCTGTAATCCTTAAACATGAACAAAAGTGTAAGCAAAATGAATTTGGGCTAAAGGAGAAAACTAAACTCAATCGTTTTCTTCTGAATTGTTTGAATTCTGACTCTTTGTTGTTTGCTTGCTGCTGATCATTTATTCCACTTAAGCCTTAGATAACAGGAACGGTCTACTCTGGCTAAATAAGCAACATCATTAGGCTCTCGCCGCCAGCATCAGAGACCAGACAGCCTGGGGATTCACTCTGAAGTTTATCACAAGGCATATGCACACATAATAAAGTGTTTGTGTGTTTGAGGCTGGTTGTTTCATGTTTTACAGATTCTAACTAGGTAGCTGTTTTTCTCATCCTTTAGGCCCACTTTCTAGATCTATAGGGGAATTCAATCATTATTATTTTTTTAATTCTGCATAAGTCAGTCATTAAGATGTAAACAAAGTCATTCAGTGTGATGTGGAATGCTTAGTTCTAGAGCAGGGGTCCTCAAACGTTTCCACCCCAAGGCCCACCTGTTTATAATTATAAAGCATAGCGGCCCACAGAAATACTAAAATCTAGGTTTTTTTTAAATATCTTTTTTTGTTAATTGCTCACATTGAAAACCGGTGAATTAGGGCCTGAAAAATATCAGATTGTCCATTTCAGTTCAATCAAACGAACCAAAATTTTAGGTATTTTTAAAAACATAACATATTTAAAACTAAAAAAGTGTATTTCCTGAAGGAACCGCTGAACGGCTGTGCAGCGGTTACTATGATATCCCAGGTGGTTGCTAAAGTGTTGCTAGGCAGCTGACATGGTGTATGGGGTGTGTATTCAGTTGTTCGTATGGAGTTGCCGAGCGTTAGCTACACGTTGCTGAAAATTAATAGGAGTCTATGAGAGGAACGAGGGATGAAAAAACGACACGCAGAGGAGTGCGGGTCAGTGTGGCTGTAGATTAGAGCTTGATACAGTGTAAGACCAAATTCAAATACTGAAGCCTTTATATCCTGTTGAAAATCATTATAATGCTGTATAATAACAATCTATATACATTACATTAGTAAAAGTATCTATACACTCCTTCTAAGTAGTGAATTCAAATGCACCCCTTGCTGAGGTGTTTAACTGCACACGGACAGCTTGTATAGTCTCCGTAGAAAAACACTGACCAATAGAATGGGACGCTCTGGAGTAACTGGACATGAGCCTTAGGACACCATGCTCAATGCCAAGCTTTGGCTAAAAGGGAATAAAGCCCCCCTGCACTCCAGTTCTCTGGAGTGATGGAGCTCCGTCCAGTACATTTAGGATGAGTTTGTGATCCAGAACTGATCATCCAACATCACTACCTGACCTCAATAATGCTCAATCGAATCCTCACAGCAATGCTCAACAACTACTGTAAAGCATTCCCAGAAGGGTAGAGGCTGTTACTGCAGCCTCTAGTAATGCCCTTCATTTCAGAGGAAACACTGGATGTGCAGGTGTGCAACTTCTGAACACATTCGTGTTATTGCACACCGACAAACAGAGCGTTCTCATTTCTTAAAAGCACTGTGAAAAGCTAGGTGTCCGCAATCGTTTGCCGAGCAGAGTGCATCAGTATTAGTGGTTATAGATGAGCTGGAATGCGAAGTGAGCTGCACGTCCTGCATAGTGGCCACAAAAGAGACAAAATCACCACGTCCTCTTTCTCTCTCTCTCTCTCTCTCTCTCTCTCTCTCCCTTTGATGCTGGAGATCACACACTCTCTGACACATCTCTGCAATCATGTGACACAGACGCAAAAATACATCCCCACATAAAAGAGCAGAGTGAGGTCAGAACAAACCTCCCTCAAGCGCCAAAAGAATCGTAGGAAATGAAATTCACTCGAGTTCAAGGCTAGAGTGCCATTCATCACAAGGTAATGCAAAGCATAGAGAACAGGGGGGAGAGAGAGAGAGAGAGAGAGAGATAGAGAGAAAGATGAGAGTGACAAAGCGAGGAAGGGAAGAGGATAAGGAGCGGAACAGAAAGAGGACGAGGAGAGAAAGGAGATAGAGGATAGGGGAGTGAATGAAGAGAGAACAAGGAGAAGTAGAGGCGAGAAAGAAGTGGAAGAAGCAGAGTAGATGAGGAGGAAAGAAGAGGAGAATCAAAAGTGGAAGAGAAAGAGAGAGTAAAGAAAGAGGAACTGGAGACAAAGATGAGTGGAAGAGACAGGGGAAGTAAGAGGAGTGGAAGATAAAGAGAAAGCGGACTGGAAAAAAGAGCAGGGGAAGAGGAGAGGAAGAGAATGAGTAGAGGAGGAGAACAGGAATAGAGAGGAGAGAAAAGAGAGAAATTGGAGAGAACAAGGAGAGGAAGAGGGGAGGAAAAGAGAAATTAGGGAGAACGAGGAGAGGAAGAGGAGAATAACAGAAAGAAGAAGAGGAAAAAGTGATGAGGAAGAGAACTGGAAGAGAAAGAGGAAAGGAAAAGGAGAGTGAGGACAGAAAGAGGAGGAAAAAAAGGAGGAAGAGGAGACAGACAGAGAGAGAGAGAGAGAGATAGAGAGAGAGGAAGAAAGATGAGATGACAAAGCGAGGAAGGGAAGAGGATAAGGAGTGGAACAGAAAGAGGACGAGGAGAGAAAGGAGATAGAGGATAGGGGAGTGAATGAAGAGAGAACAAGGAGAAGTAGAGGCAAGAAAGAAGTGGAAGAAGCAGAGGAAAGAAGAGAAGAATTAAAAGTGGAAGAGAAAGAGGAACTGGAGACAAAGATGAGTGGAAGAGACAGGGGAAGTAAGAGGAGTGGAAGATAAAGAGGAAGAGGAGAGGAAAAGGAGTGCATAGGAAAGACAAAGAGTAGTGGAAAAAAGAGCAGAGGAAGAGGAGAGGAAGAGAGTGAGTAGAGGAGGAGAACGGGAAGAGAGGGAGGAGAGAAAAAGAGAGAAATTGGAAAGAACAAGGAGAGGAGGAGAACGTGGAGAAGGGAAGAAGAGAAAGAAGAAGAGGAAAAAAGTGACGAGGAAGAGAACTGGAAGAGAAAGAGGAAAGGAAAAGGAGAGCGAGGACAGACAGAAAAGTAAAAGAAGGAGGAAGTGGAGACAGACACAGAGAGAGAGAGAGATAGATGGAGAGAGAGAGGAAGAAAGATGAGATGACAAAGCGAGGAAGGGACGAGGATAAGGAGCGGAACAGAAAGAGGATGGACAGAAAAAAGAGAGAAATTAGGGAGAACGAGGAGAGGAAGAGAACATGGAGAACAAGAGGAGTGACGAGGAAGAGAACTGGAAGAGAAAGAGGAAAGGAAAAGGAAAGTGAGGAAGGAGGAAGAGGAGACAGACAGAGAGAGAGGGAAAGAGAGAGGAGAGAGAGAGAGAGAGAGAGAGAGAGAGAGCAAAAGAGCGAGCATCTGTTAAGCCGGCCGATTAGCACCCAGCTCATGCCAACTAGTTTCTGCTTTATTAGAGCCTGAAAACACAGAGCCATCTGCCTGAGTGCCAGCCAAATCAGCTACAGTGTGATCACACACACACACACACACACACACACACACACACACACACACACACACACACACACACACACACACACGCCACGGCTGCAACCACCAATGATTTCTACAATCAATTAATCTATCAACTTCAACTCAATTAATCAAACTGAACTAGTGGCCCTTCTGCCCATTCTTCTCCTTTTGCCCCACCATAATTCAAAGTTTCTTCTGTGCAACAAGAAATGTGTCCTGTAATGGTGTGTAAAGTTGTAGGGGCAGCACTGCTATTTCTTGCAGATGATAATTCCAGATATCCAATAATGCCAATGCTGGACGATAACTTTTTTTGCTGCAGTTAAGCCAGCCAGCCATATTTTCTGGGATCTTTCCATAACGGGAGAACTTAGATTTAGATTTAGATTTAATTATCATTAAGTAAATGAAGTTTAAAGTCTATGGGGAAGTATATCTTAGTCAGAGAAGAGACAGAATCAACAACCTCCTCCCAAAAAGGCATAAACTTTTGGGCAGTCCGTTATGTGGACCGACAGTACAGAAGGGGTGAGGGCTTAAACCCATCAACCTGGGTGTCAGACAAGCCCTGTGGCTTATTTTCAGATGGATGAATTACCAACTGATCAGATGTCTGACAAAAATTAATATTGTGAGATATCGTGTATTGTGAAATTTCTTGAAGTATCGCAATATTATATTTTCGCCACTTTGCCCACCTCTACTATGGGTACAAAAAAAAGATTTCTGCAATCGATCAATCAACTATCAAATTATGTCAGTAATCAAAAAATCAAAATGCTTATGATTTCTGAGGTTTACTCTCATTTTGTGTGTCACAGTGTGTGAAAAGTTTTTTTTTTTAATGATGCAATAAAACACCATATCGCCCCTACCCTTCATGTAGCTTACTGAAATCTGTCAGAAGAACCATCTTTATTAAAATATAAACATAATATAATGGAGTGCCTTTATTTTTAAGTAAATAATATGACAACGTTTTTCCATGATCAACAATGTCAACCCCTAATTGCTTTTTTTCCGTCCTAACGCACATCAGATGAACACACACACACACACACTCACGTCTTCGTTCATCACGATGTGGCGGATGAGTGCTGCAATCAGCTCCAGATTGATCTTGTCATCCTCGTCCATCATCTCGAGGGCATCGATGGTGCTGTCTGAGTACCTGCCAATCACAGCACAGTGGAGAGGTGAAAACCAGAGATGACACGTCAGCCTCTGGGATGGCGACTGGATGCCAGCATGGATATGTCTGACAGCCTGTCTGTCCCTGTCCTAAAATCAACACATGCACATCACAGCACCTCTATTTTAATTCTTATATAACGTACATAATTTAACCTATGCATATTATGCATAGGGAATACAATAACAGCAGCTAATGATTCATTCATTTCTTTAATGGGAATCTCATTCAGTCGAGAGCTGAGACTCTGAAACAAGAGCTCATATTTAAAGCTATTCTTCTGGGCACACAGCATTTAACTGCTAACATTAAAATAAACACAAATAAGCAATCAAGTGCCGCTAATGCAGATCAGACCGTAACAGGTTCACGATTATTGTGCCTTTCAGAAATAACCTAATTCGCTGAGCCCCAGGACTCTCTTAAGAACGGCAATTATTTAAGATGATTGCAATAATTGTTCACAGCCATATTGTGTCATATTAGGCATATTAAGCTGGGCTGAGGCTAATCCAGTGTGCTGGTGATGGTAACCAGCTCACAACACAACAGTGAAAATTTTACTGAAAACACCACATTCTGCTCATCTAATGTTAATATTCAGTGTTTCCCCCATCATTAAACTCACGTGAAGCCCAGCTTGGACGAGGTACAGACATAGGATGTTACAGGCAGGTTAGCGTTTGCTTTCTATCATGCAGTGTTGTTCATTTATGTGTGGTATTCGCTCTTTTTTCAAACGTAAAGAATCAGATGACACAGTCACAGTCTTCTGGTGACTGATTAGTTGAACTCTAGTATTTTAGTATTCCACACAAATGTGTATATATATATATATATATATATATTTGATGCCAACAACACATTCCAAAAAAGTTGGGACGGGGCAACAAAAGGCTGGTAAATTGTGTAATGCTAAAAAATAAAAAAAATAAATAAATAATAATATTTAAAAAAAATGGTGCTTGATTGGCAACAGGTCAGTAACACGATTGGGAATAAAAAAAGCATCCCAGAGAGGCTGAGTCTTTCAGAAGTAAAGATGAGGAGGGGTTCACCACTCTGAAAGACTGCACAATCAAATAGTACAACAATTCAAGAATAACATTTCTCAACATAAAATAACAAAGAACTTTTGCTTTTCATCATCTACGGTACATAATAACATTAAAAGATTCAAAAAATCTTTAGAAATCTCTGTATGGCCAAAAAACAGTATTTGCTGGCCGTGATCTTTGGGCCCTCAGGTGGCCCTGCATTAAAAACAAATATGATTCTGTAGTGGAAATCACTGCATGGGCTCAGAAACACCTATGAAAACCACTGTCTGTGAACACAGATCATCACTGCATCCACAAATGTAAGTTAAAACTCTAAAATGCAAAGAAGAAACCAAATATAAACAGGATCCAGAAATGCTGCCACCTTCTTTTGGTCTGAGCTCAGTTAAAATGGACTGAGGGAATGTGGAAAAATGTCCTGTGGTCCAACGAATCAACATTTGAAATTCTTTTTGGAAATTATGGACACTGTGTCCTCCGGGTTAAAGACTACTCAGCTTGTTATCAGTGCACAGTTCAAAATCCAATATTCATGATGGTATAGGGGGGCATTAGTGCACATGGCATGGGTGACATGCACATCTGTAAAGGCACCATTAATGCTGAACAATATATACATGTTTTGGCAACATATGCTGCCATCCAGACAACGTCTTTTTCAGGGAAGGTCTTGATTATTTCAGCAAGACAATGTCAAACCACATTCTGTATGTATTACAGCAGCATTTCTCCTTATTAAAACAGTTCAGGTGCTAAACTGCAGACCTGTCACCACTGAAAACATTTGGCACATTATGAAATGAAAAATACAACAAAAGAGATCCAGAACTGATGAGCAGCTGAAATCCTGTATCAAACAAGAACGGGAAAACATTTAACTTTCAAAACTACAGCAGTGTCTCCTCAGTTCCCAAACTCTTACAGAGTGTTGGTAAATGAAAAGGTGATGAACCACAGTGGTAAACAGGCCCCCGTCCCAACTTTTTTGAAATGTGTTGTTGGCATCAAATTCAAAATGGGCATATATTTTTCAAAAAACAACAAAATTTCTCAGTTTCAACATTTGTTTTGATGTTTTTGTAGTATTTTCAATTCAATATGGAGTTTAAATGATTTGCACACACACATACATATATATACACATATATATATATATATATATATATATATATATATATATATATATATATATATATATATATATATACATATACACACACACACACACACACACACAGTAAAATACAGTCCATAGGACTGTGATAAATGATCACTCGCGGTGTGCATGTGTGCATGTTGCAGACTGACCTGTCTCTGAGTGTGCGGGCGTAGCAGGGCCAGCTCTCCTTGTACTCTGCCTCTTTCTGCTCCTTCTCAGGCCACGCGCTCTGACCCTGCATGAAGCCTCTCCGGAACCGGGGCCGCCGGTCCTGCTGCTGCGGCCGGAACCTGCAAACCAGACCATTTTCTCTTATATAATTACACGTGTAATAGCGTGAACTGTTTGTCCAGTCTATTCTGATTGCAACAGGAGGCGTGTAGTTGACTACCTTATGAGAGTATTTATTGGAAAGGCCAGCTTTCCTAACATTTAGCTGGCTGCAGCACTATACTTGTCTAACATGGTCACATAGGCCATGTTAAAGTTCTGGCTTTAAACCACTCTTTAATGTGATGGTATTAGAAACAGCGTTTCTATATATTTTGTAGCACCCAAAAAGGTTCTTCTATTGTTACTTGACATCTTAGCAACAGAAGAACCCTTTTGGGTGCTATTTAGAACCATTTCCAAAAATGTTCTATAAAGAACCATCTGCAGCACATTCTTCCGAATCTGTTCATGATGCAAAGAACGCTTTAATCATGCAAATGGTTCTTTGAGGTCTCATGGTTCTTTATAGAACCATTTTCTTTACTAAAGAACCCTTGAAGAACCAACTTTTTGAGTTGTATGGGAAAAAAAAACTTTTTCTTGGGGACTACTTTGCCTCACAACACCATGCATGTATTTTTTCAGGCAAAAAGGTGGTGCTTCAAGGGTTCTTTAGTCAACAAAATGGTTCTATATAGAACCATTAACACTCAAAAAATCATTTGCATGATTAAGGGGTTCCTTGCATCATGAAAGGGTTCCTCAGTTTGATGAAAAATGTATATGAATGTGCTACAGACGGTTTTATATATAACCTTTACGAGAAGGGTTAGCACCCAAAGGGTTCTTCTACTGTTACAAGCTTGTCACTGTAAAAACCAAAGAACCACACTGGTCCTACATAAAACCATTTCAAAAAAGTTCTTTATAGAACTATCTACAGCACAATCTCCATCAATCTGAAGAACGTTTTCATGATGCAATGAACTAATCATGCAAAGGGTTCTCTAGGTGTTCAGGGTCCCATATAGAACCATTTCTCTTTACTAAAGAACCCTTGAAGCACTATCTTTTTAAAGAGTATACACGTTTTAACCCATGTAATAATACATGGCCTATGCATGTCTATACTTCACCAGCGATTGAATATAAGTGCTGGTAATACGTATAATATGCAGCTTTAATGTTATGCTCACCTGAGCATCTCCACCACATCCTCCAGCAGGTACTCCTTGACTGGGTAGGTGTAGCCAGGGATATGGATCATGGGGCAGTTTCCTGCAAGAAGATCAGAGACAGCGTCAGCAACGCTTTCAACATCAGTCTCTCAGAAAGCTTCTCCTTTTTCATCTAAAGCTGAAGCCATTACTCAGATCGTTACCTCTACGTTAAATCCTGTTACTTAACTTTTTTTATGAAGCATGTCATGTTTTAAGAAGTTGATTTCATACCTGCTGTTTTTATATTCGCAAGTAAAATATTCATTGCTCAGTTGAAAGCAGGACACAGTCATTCTGCTCAAACAGCCATGTAATTATTCATTACACAAAGCCATTCTGCCCAAGAGCTCTGTGGACCTGAGCAATAGACTGGAAATAAAGTTTACTGTGGCATGGAATTGATATTATTTCTCTATAATCCCATGACAGATCATATAAGACCACTATTACTTATTATTCTATGATTCTTTTGTCAGGGAAAGATGCAAAAATGATGTATTTTAAACTTCCGCCTATGACGCATTATTTGATATGTGCATTTAAACATCTTAAGTGAATTATGCATTTCAAAATTCTTGCGTGTTTAAGGTGGTAGTAACTTCAGGCTCCTGCAGATGGCATTGCACGAGGTTGATCGGGCTGTAAATACCTGCGGCGTGTGCGATGGCATTCATAGATTGAGAAAAGGTGGTATAGTGCAGTGAATGTCTTGTGCGTTGACTTCTAAAAGCAATTCTTGCCTGGAAGTGAAGCGTTTTTTATTCATAAGCCGTGAAACACGCCGGTGGTCCCAGTCTGTCAGTTTTGTCTTTCGGCCACAATTCTGAAGAGAATTTCCTGTAAACTGGGATTTTTGACACTGCTAGTAGACCTGTATGACCATATGCTTCGATACACCTGCAAATTTAGCTACTTCCTTCACACTCTGGCCTTTGGCTCGCCCAAATGCAATTATTCCTTTTTGCCAATCATTAACATCCACTTTGCAACCCATTTTCCATACATCGAATGAGACATTCACAGCACTGTACCACCTTTTCTCAATCTATGAATCCAGTCACACACCCCACAGGTATTTACAGGTTGATCATGCCCGTGCAACGGCATCTGCAGCAGACTGAATTTACTACCACCTCAAACGCGCAAGGTGACTCTTTTTTTTCTGTTTGGTGAAAAATTACATTTCCCTCTGACTCCAAATGCACTTGATAAGCCAACAGACATAAGCAAGGCTATCTGACATTAATTAAAGGAACATTGTGGCCAAAATGAAAAATGCAACCATCATCCTGATCTGTGGTAAACATGCCTGTTCACATCCTACAGCAGCGCTGCAGTGGTTTCCAGACCCCGATATTCCAGTTTAAAGACTGGGAAACGCCCCTTCTGATGATGTATCTTGAAGGTGGGAGGGACATTTGGTGGATTTTTGAGGGTGGATTTTTGAAATTCTGTTTCTGTTAGCAGGGTAATGCAGAAGGAAGGTACACTCTTAAAAAAGATGGCTCTTCAAGGGTTCTTCAGTAAAGAAACTGGTTCTATATAGAACTATGAACACTCACAGAACCCTCTGCATGATTAAAGGGTCCTTTGCACTGAGAAATGGTTCTTTAAATTGATGGAAAATGTGCTTTAGATGGTTCTACATAAAACCTTTTTGAAAATGGTTCTGTATAGCACCAAAAAGGTTTTCTTATTGTTACAATGAAAAGTTTGTAGAAAATGGTTCTATATATAATACCAAATAAGGTTCTCTTATTGTTACGATGCCAAGTTTGTAGCAATAAAAGAAACCGTTTTGGTACTATATACACTCTTAAAAAGGTGGTTCTTCAAGGGTTTTTAGTAAAGAAAATGGCTTTATATAGAACCATGAGCACTCAAAGAACTCTCTGTATGATTAAAGGGTTCTACGCATTATGAAAGGGTTCTTCAGATTGATAAAGAATATGCTGTAGAAGGTTATATAGAACCTTTTTTAAAAAGGGTTCCATATAGCACTAGAAAGGGTTCTTTTATAACAAGCTTAATATTATAACAATAGAAGAACCTTTTTGATGCTACAGACAACCTATTTTGAAAAGGTTCTGCATAGCACATTCTTCATCAATCTCACGGACCATTTCACCATGCAAAGAACTATTTAAGCATGAAATGGTTCTATATAGAACTCATGGTTCTAAATAGAACCTTTCCCTTTGCTAAAGAACCCCTGAAGAACCATCTTTTTGAAGAATGTAGGACAATAAGCTAAAAGCTAGTTGCCTTAATTTGGATAGTTAATAGGTTAGTTAGCAGGTTAGCTACCTGGGTACTTAGATACTTTACCTTAGACTGGCTTCTTGTTTCTGCCCTCAATTTTGTGCTGAAAACAGACAGAATTGCTGCTTTCTTTACAATTTTTGTTCAACGTTAAACTCTAGATTTAGAGCAGAATCCCCCTTCATAAGAACTAGACACAAGCGTCTGATGATTCAGGCATGCAGTTTGCACCATGCTAATTTAGGGGAAGAATAAGCTTTCACTGCTTGTTAGCTACATTAGCCTTACAGTGTTTTCACACGTAGTTCGTTTTAAAAGAACCAGACTGAGTTCTGTTAAAGTGAACCTGGAAGGGAACCAACTGCAAATTACCTCAGTTCATTTTGTGCTCACAATGTAAGTGAACTATAAAGAGGATTCAGTTTTCTTTCTGGTCCTTCACGATCTCAGACCACTCAGACCATAACTCCACTAGAACTCGAGAGGAGGCGAGAGAAACCACCAGACCCACTTGCAGCTCTCCTATTGGCAGCGATGAACTGATTGTCCGAAGTGCCTCGCACAAAATTGGACAAATGACCCTAGCGTCTGCCGCGGCGGGTTCTGTTTTCGGCTGTGCTCCTCACTGAGCTCCACCCGGTGAAACTTGTGTGAATTTTCATTCGTTCAGCATTCAGTGTGAAAGCAGCTTAAACTTGTGTTGCGTGCCCAGCTCGAGCCTTTAACACGGCAAAATCACCTCTCACATCTTATCGCTTTAATATGTCTGCGCTGCTGTCTTGTCGCAGCTCACAGGCCGAATTTATCCTAGTAGAACCTTATAAATGATACTTGGGAGTCTGTTTTTACCTGCTGAAGTGCTGGAAGACTGTGGCTGTGTGAACGGTGAGCCTCGAGGTCTTCACCATAAAGCAAAGCTAAAGCGGACTGGGGCCGTTCTGTTTTCACAATGTACAAATCAATCGAACCACCTCGAGAGGTGGTCTCAGTTCGGTTTGTTTTTGGGGCCGTTTAGAGGGGTCTGAGTTCGTTTGGCATGTTCACAAATGCAAAAGAAACCATGACTCAGCGGTCTGAGTCCACTTCAGATGGCCCAAGTGTGACAATGCCCTTATAATTCCAGTGCAAAACTAAAGAGAAAACTGTCTTTGCTTAATGTTTTGGCTGATGCTCAATTTTTTTTACAAAACATTTCTGCTCGAAACGCCATACAAAGCACTCTCACCAAAGTACTTGCTGAATTTGTCGGCGTTGAGCGTGGCGCTCATGAGGATGATCTTGAGGTCATCCCTGGTCCCCAGCAGGTCCTTTACAATGGTCAGGAGAACATCAGACTGTAGATTCCGCTCATGGATCTCATCCAGAACTAGGTGACTGATGCTGGACAAACACCTGAAAACAAAAGGCACAGGTGAGGAGTGTGTCCGTGAGAAAGAGAGAGAGACAGAGAGAGACAGAGAGAGAGAAAGAGAGAAAATATGAGTCCCAGAAATGCTAGTTTGGTAAGTAAATAGTACATATAATACATTTGTGGCGATGTACTAAAGGGGGCCCTTTGCATGTCCGGGAGGACTTCATACTCTACCTTCACATTTCACTTCAAAAGAAAACCCACCAACCCTTTCTTCATCCAAATCATACTTTAATTAAGACTAACAACGCGATGAAGTGACTTCTGCATTCCCAAACCAGCAATAAACGCTATTTCACTCAGTGTGAAACAATATAAACAATAAAGGAACGAGGCATGAAGGAATCTTACACGGCCGTCCAAGAACTATTATGGAAGTGGTTCGATTTCTACCAGAACTTGACATAGCTGTTCAGATTATTTCTGATTTATACCTCTTGGTCAAAAAGCTGAAATACACCTTTCTTTGTTTGGAGACTGCACCTTGATGAAGGCAACGGCTGCGACGCATTGGCAGCTTTCTCTCCAGCCTTAGTTAATGTGTTTTCATGGATTTGCCCTGAAAATGAAGTCAATTTTAATCTTTGATCATAACATGGAAGAGTGCCTTGTTGTGGACTGAACTTTGATAGTAGACAGTCACTGAAGCCCAGAAAGCACCCCGCAGACATACTGATGACACTGTCGTCAGTTTAATGTGTATGAGCAGTCAATGCTGGCTATGGCTTCTAAGTCAAGACATCAAGAAAATGTCTGTGTGATTGGAGATGTTGATTGGTACCAAATCAGTAAGTTATCTTTAAGACCTGATTATGCGTTATTGCCTGCAAGAACAAATCCAGACCTCTATAATCACCTTAAATACTGCATCAGAACACACATCGCAGGAGATAAAAGCAGACAAATTGCTAGAATCGTACAAGGCGATTCAAAAAGATTCATCTGATTTTAAAGCACCATATTTTTACAACCACGAGGCGCCTAGGAACCAATCACATACCAATTGAAAGAGGGGGTCATATAGTTTCTGACGGTCACCGGAAAAGATAGCTCCCTTCAGTCTGGGAGGAGATGCGACCCCTGAGCAGAAAGCGACATAACTGTGCAACGTGATTTTCGTGGGTAGTGAAGCTCCAACAGCTCAGAGTGTTCGTCGTTGGTTCCACAACACTGGATGATCACCGAAATTGCACTGAAAGAGCCGTGAGTGCAGCGACACCAGATATGCTCAATCCAGGATGGGATGAATTTGACTATGGCGTTGATGTTGTCTGTACAGCTGGAGGAGGTTCATACTGAGACCTTGTAAAATCTTATTGAACACCTCTAGTGGAAGGATCTGAAATATTCTCTCTTTTGTATTATCAGCTACACCACCAAACATCATGATTAGGGCTGCATGATAAATCGTATTTATGAGTTTCCATGATAAACATATCGGTAACAGATGCCATGACACAACAGATCAAATTGGTTAAGCCACATTTGAAGCCAATGAAAAATCCACAATATAGACACATCTGTGACGCCTAACAGCACCAGAACTGTATATCACTACTATACAGTACATCATACTACTATACTACATCACGGCACAATAAAAACCCTTATGATATTAATGGAATGACTCTCTTGCTGCTGACATGGAGCATCGAGGTTACTGATGAAGTAAGAACCTGTTTGTTGTTTAAACTGAGGGACTTACAGTTTATGTTCTTAACTAGAACCTGGCTGGTCAGCTAGCTAACAGGCTAAAAGATAGCAAACATCTAAACAACTCCATCATTAACATCACAGGCTTGAATTAAACCACTTACGGTATAATTCACTGTAAAATTGCAGTACAAAAGTATAACATATTTCAAATGTTTGTGTTTGTCAGAAGTCGCATCAAACCCAGGCTGAATCCCAAACGGCTGTGTACTCCCTAAATAGTGCGCTAGCTATGAAAGTTTAGAAATTCTAGCCTCTGCAGCCAAGCCGAGTCACAAATGACTATTTCTTAGCTGTATTTTGCTCTGTTGGGCTGCAGGAACCAGTATTTAAACTCCTACGTCGTGCACTATGTAGGGAGCAGGGAGCCATTTGAGATTCAGCCCCAGCACGAGAAGAGCTGAGCCGCTGGATCGGTGCTAAAGACCTGCAGTGATGATTTGGTGACCAATACTTCTAAGTACTTATAAAGCGATGCCGTGTTATCATATCGCTGTTGTCGGAATCAAACTTCATATCTCCAAAATGATAGCTTTACAGGAGAAGGAGAAAACCTTCTTTACTTTCAATGGAAGTCAATGGAACCAGACTTTTTCCAAGTCATTTTGGGTCATTTCTTTTGGTCCATTCATCATGAAATTTACACACAATGTAACAACAGGGCAACAGGCATTTTCAGATTATGTCGAAAACTAAAAAAACGACAAAAATGGAGATGCAAGGTTTTTTTTCATTGTTATAAGACAAAAAGTTCATGAAATAAAGTGTTTACGGTATAATTCACTGTAAAACTGCAGTATAAAAGTATAAAAATGTCTATTGAATGGACAACCTATGGGCAACGTTCTCCATGGTTACTTGACAAGGATACCATACACTAAAGAAACTACATGTCTTGCCAAAATATTTGTTTATGTCGATTATTAATAGTAACTTTATAGCATTAATAGAAAATACTATAAAATATTAATAGTATTAATATTAATAGTAAAATTATTTTCTGAAAAATTGTGTTTTGTTCATATTTTATGTTGGCCGACGTTTTATAAAAGCAGTAAGCCACCTAAGGCCATGCATTACTGTGATGTTATCACAAGGTTGGGAGTTTTAGGCACTCTGCTGTGTGTCATGCCTAAGAACACCCCTCCCGTGATAAAACCGCAGTAACGCACTGCGTCTCGTGTCTTATTGCTTAAACAAACCGTTAGCAAGCTGATGAGTGCTTCTCTGTGCTGCGCTTGAACTCTACTTTCCTATAAGGTGGACAAGTAACTTAACCACCCCTTATTCATTCTTGCCTTCATAAAAAATAAATATACTGATCTGTTTTTGTAGGCTTTCTAAAAAAAGCTGTGGAGCTGTTTCTCAGCCTTGTAGTGCACCAAAATGTGCTTGCCGTTCTGATGCGAGTAGCTCTTACTCTGCAGGCACACCGCAGGCGGTAAAATCGCTCAGGCAGCCTTCAGCTGGTTGCTGATGGGCATTCTGAAGCAAGAGCAAGCAGACAGGACGTTCGACTGGGTTACGTGGTCATGCAAACTACATTTTTAAAAGCATGGGAGCAAAGACAACCCAGTGCTCAGCCAGCGTAGGCTGTATTTATTGACTCACATGACATGGAACACAAGTAAACATCAAAATCAAGAAATTCATATTTCACTTGTGTTTTTTTTCCCCCATTTGTACTCCAGCTGAGCAGAAATGCTTAAATGATTTTCTCAGATTATTAAACACTTCATCATGAGTGACTTGCATTTGTTTCAGGAAAAGCAGAATCTGCAGAATTTCGATATCCATTCAACAAAATAACATTAGTTAACTGGGCCTATAACATAAGCTCAGTTCACAATGAGGCTATGTTATCATTTTATTTAGTTTCTTTGCTATGGTCATTATAAAATCAGTACACTTTCTTCTACCATGCCTCATTTTTACTAACATCTCAGTATATAAACTCCATATAGACTCCATACAGCATGATAAACTCACACCGCTGCAATCTGCTTTCGCTACACATTCAATTAAATGCAGGGGAACAAATCTTCAGCGAAAAACAACTGTATTTTCCACAAGATGTGAGAACGTCTTTTCTGATTGGTTATCGCCACCCTGCATCACTGCTCATTTGCATGAAGTTGAGCAGAACTGAGCTTCTTCACGTCACTCTGGTCGCTTGCTTTGCAGCGCTGGCTCTCCTTAAATACTGAATGACTTACGGCCATTTTGGCAGGTCGCTGCCAGTGTGAACACCAGGCTATTTCACTTCTTTTTATTTTGCTTTGTTTGCTTAATAATTTATCGTTTCTCATATTATTATCAAGATATGCAACAACTGTTTCGAACATCGCATTTCATGTCCATAACTGTGCTCATAAAAGTGGAGATAATCAGTGTTGAGGTCAACTTAAGTTACGTGAGCCCAGCTGTTCTCTCAACTGCATTCACCCTCCACCTAAAGCTAAAGCTAAAAGATCTAGATCATCATCATCTATGTCAACTATCAATCGTGAAAAATCCAACACTGGAAAATGATCAAGGGCAAAATTACAGAATCTATCCTTCACATCCTTTGGCAACATTAAGGGGACACAGCTGAAAGACTGTCCTGTTTATTCTCGCTATGCAAAGGTTTCTCCTTCACTGGCTCAGCTCTTCAGCTTTTTCCCCCCTCACGACGTTAGACAGCCAGGACGCTATAAAAGCTGCCACAGTTTTGTGTTTTGTTGCAGTTGCTGCCATGAATCACTCATGCAACACACCATGGCTCTATTTTGTGTGTCAGGATGCTGTAACTCTATGGCTCTATGGGTCGCCCCACTGACCGGTGGCATGTCAACAATATGGCCATGGCAAGTGAGCCATCAAATAAATACTATCTACTGCAGAGGAGTCCAAACATTTTACAAAGGGGGCCAGAATGGACCCCATCAAAATACATGAGGGCTGTTCACTTTTTGCCAAAATATTCATAAATGATTAAAGGTTCAGTATTCAAAATATCCAAAATATGAAAAACTCAACTACACAGAACACATAATATTTATTGTACAAACTAGTGAATTTGCTCTGATTAAAAAGCTGCTTAGTCTTTTGTCGTCTGCCTCAGAGGAGAACACCAACCACCAGTTCTGTTACGTGTTTGGGGTGGGGGGCCCTCCTTCCTACCCAGAGAGCAAGGCCAATTGTGCTCTCTTGGACCCCTGGGAACGGATGGCTCATAATGTACTTTCATAGCAAATTCATTACAGTCTGTTGACATATGAGGCAC